ATCTTTTAAAAGTTAAATCTTGGTTTTTTCTTTTTGAAAGTTAAAAGTTAAATCTTGGTTTATATCTACATTACGCACCCAAAATGAACCCGAGATTAGGAAACCTGAAATTCTCTGACTTGAGCAAGGCAGCCTTAATCATTTAGGAATGCTTCAATCAAATGAATTTTCAAAGCTGAGAATATAGCAGAATCCAGCTAATTATAAGCATAAATCAAGTAAGGGAAGGAGTGGTATGAGAAGCGAAACAGGGTCTTCTATTAAGAGGAGTAAATCCTCAAGAAAAGTACTAGGAAGGATTGCCCGTTTTTACGGAAGAGGAAATGAAAGGATAGGAAGAAGCAAAAAACCAAAGAACAGGGGAGGATCAGGGGTGATCAGAAAGGAGCTGTGTCCTTTTTCCCAAAAAGAAGTCTTAACAATCAAAGTGATGGGATATTTCATTGGCATATTTCCGTCTCTGGTCCATCTTTTTTCTAGTTTGCTAGTATACTACAAAAATCATGCATCTTTCATGTAGACATGACTAAACAAGACTTTCCATACGTACGCGGGTACGAAGTTTTGCTGCTTAAATCAATCAAATAAACAGTAGCAAATTCCTGAATGACAACAGCTAAGAGAAAGGCAGACAGAGCTGCAATAACCAAAAGCAATGGGGAGTCATTACTGCTGCAGGTGATTTACAATCCGGACTGGCTTTTACCTGCTTCACTTCTCAGATAAAATTTTTTAAAAGAATTGGGTTTTGTTTTCTTAGAAATTGTTTGTTTCAATTATTGTTGTACATATTTCCTTACAGAGCTGTTCATGTTATTTTTTCCTTCACATTTTACAGTTGGGTATCAGTTCCTTTTGTGAATAATTCAACATTGCATAAATGTTAGTTGCTCTTGCATGTTTTTAAATCACAATAATTTTTTTTTTATATAAAATCAACGAGTGCATCGTTCTCCATTAGAATTGGAACTCGAAATGTGTTGCATCTCAAATAAGTAAACTTAGTACTTCCCTCATCTTTTTGTAATCAATAAACTTGTACTACACCATTAATTAGTCATTAGACTAGAGGTAGTTAATCAATGGTCTAATTTGAAAATAAAATTAAGAACATAAAGATTGTGTTGGACAAACTATAACGTAAGACTCGGTTTTTGCCTACTTATTGATAAGAGAGTTTATTTTTTTTAAAATAATTGAAGGATGAGTCTCGTTATTTTATTTTTTATATGATTTTTAAATGTAAAAGCTAATATACCATGGAGAAGAAGTTAATAGGCTTTGGTAACCAAAAAGCTTAAAAAAAAAAGCTGAAATAAATGAAGATAACAAAATCTGGTGAGGGGCACCCCTTGCTTTTTTTTTTTTTTTTTGCAATGAAGGCATGCACTCACTGCAGTCCTTGGTCCTTTGCCCTTGCTTACAATTTCAGGCTTCATACTAACAGGAAATTTTTGCCCTTTTTGGTACTAACAGGATTTGAGATCCAAAGTTAAAACAGAAACTGATATAGCAAACCTGCAGAAGCACTCTCTGCATCAAGCAGCTGAGGCCTAGACCTGCTTGGACAAACTATGATTTCTAGACTGCCAAAGCTTATATATATGATTTTTTTTTCTCAATTTTGTTAGTAAACATTGATGATATGTCCTTGACTGGCAATTAACGCTCTTCAGGTAATCAAAAGCTGAACAGTTCTGTAAAAGTTCAAATGCTGCACCAAACAACTATTGAATTTACATAGAAACAAGTAAAATCCCATTTTATTTTGAAATGAAGAGCGACAAATAACATATGCCATCAAGAAAACAACACAGAGAAAAATACAGGCGCGGGTTTCGTCTTCAACTGCACATCCAAATTCCAAACGCAATCCTTATCATTCATCTGTTCAGTTTCTGGCTTTTCCATAAAACTCCGCAATGTTTATCCCTTGGGAAAGAATATTAAGGTACACTTGGTGCAACAGTCACGTGGGGACATGGGGGAACCATCTCCACCATGTCCTAAAAACCTAAAAAATTAAGTCCAAAGCTTAAAGAATAAAGAGAATGTTTGGTGGTGCGAAGGTCAAGACAGACAACTGAGGAAAAGCTGAGGCCCACGACAGCAAAACGGATTCTGATTCCCAAAGCCTCCTTTTTTTCTCCCAAGTTTTTTTGTGCTTGTGTGCAAACAGGCATTGAAATTTCTCTCTCCCGCCCTTAACCCATGGACAAAAATACACTATACTTTTCTCTACAGAAACAGCAGAAGAGCCACGAGTCACCCCTTACGATTCCCAGAGGACGTTGACGGGCACCAAAAATCAGAGTGGATGGTACAGAATTCTCTGTTAAGGCATTTTCCAGGGGCCATTTTGAAATTAGATTTTTTTTCTCAAACCAAATTTGACCTTGGGAAAGATTTGAGGATCAGATTCTACAAATTAGGTTGATATTTACACACAAACGAGGGATACTGTACCATGAACCAGTTGCTTGCTCTATTGAGGGCCTGCTCATGTAACCATTCAGGTGCTAAGAAGCCCCATTTGTTCGAAGAGGTAACTTATTATTCAGGAATATCCCCTTTATCAAGTATAATTGATTTTTGGTCCAACCATTGGTGTCTAAAATTACTGAGCAAATGATACGAACCTTCTCTTCACATTGAGTAGTCAGCTAACAGCTGTTTGAGCAATAGTGCCCTCTTCTTGTACGAGAAAAAACAGAAGGCTAATATAATTTAGATAATCTCCTGAAGTATGAGAGAAGCAAATGAAATCCTTGAGTCATATCCACTGATCAGATCATTTAAACATCTATTGACGTTTAAACACTTCTAAACTTGAGAACTTAAAGAAATTGAATCAGTCCACCTAAAAAGATTAGCCTAAAAACTAAGCCCGTCAAAATGGATATCTTCATTTGACAGACATAGCCCAAGATAGAAGCCACTTGCTAGTTGTCACCGGCATAAAGAACGCACCTACGAAAAAGATGAGGATAAAGTATGATCATGGTAGGCCTTTCAATGGTGTTTGATCTTGGTATCTATCACCACTACTACCGAAATCTAGGATTTAGTTAAGGAAAACGCAGTGCTTGACATAACCAGTCATTTGCCCAGGCCAAGAGAATGATTCGGCAGCATCAATCGGAAAGGATCGACTATTCTCCATGCTGAATTTTGCAAGCTGTGCCTGAATTGAATCATTGCAAAGACTAAACATCCTGGACAATTTGTATAACTCGATATTGTAATCTAGATAATAGTATTATATAATAACTTTCACTAAATAATTTATATAATTATCTTAACAGGGATAATGTGAAAACTAAAAGCAAGAACAAGATGATGGCTTTATTAATTAGAGGGTATTGACTGAGTTAATGAAAAAGTGCATGAGATACCCACTTGATTTTAACATAAGTAACATAATTCATCCTGCAGAGTCTAAAATGCCAAGTTAAGCATATGAATGACAAGGCTGAAGCGGTACCAGGTGCCACAGGCTTGAGTTGAATCAATCACATGATTCAATTAACACATAAGCCCTTAAAAGCATTCCAGGTATTAATTGGCTATTAACTTCCTCCTTTAGTTTCTAGCAGAAACATAGGTGTCAGACTAATAATAACACCCACTCAAGCTCCCAATGAATGCGCTCAAACCAGTCTCCCTTATAGCTACAGTGGCTTGCAGGGCCAGAACCTTGGTCACTGCCCTGCGTTTCTCCGATCTTGCAGCAGACGAGCAAATGATCAGACTTCATGATGCCACAACGAGAATTTGCTCAGATAACAGAAAGGAACGAGGTAGTAACAAGGATCAACAAGGAGATTGATCTGGTCCTTTCCTACCGTCAAATTACTAGATATCTGCCCTACTATATTGATTGTGACTGATTCAGCCTAAACAATCCTTGGTTTCTGCGGTGAAGTAGTTTACTAGTTGTCTTAGATACTTTTAGATTTATATAACACACAGAATGTTTTCAGTTTGGAACCAGAAGTTATAAGTTTAATTAATAACGTTTAAGAATGGCTTATGTTTGGTTCAAAATCAAAGTTTGCGAAAACCAAGGATCCATGTTTGGCTCATTAAGTTCGTAAGTAAATACATGATGCTTTTACCTTGATCAGTGGGAGAAATTCTATTCCTCAGACACAAGTATCAGTTCTCTAAAGCAATTCAGACAGCTAACATTCAGAAGAAAGATTCCTCAACTCAGAATCTATAAATAACAAACTCAAAACCAACAGCGTCATCACTGGCCAGATCACATTCTAGATGACAAACATGCATAACCTATTTTTTCTTGCAAATTTATCTATAGGCTCTTAAGAAAGTACAAACGCTATGTAATGAGTAGTTAAGTGTTTCGACGAGCCAAATTCAGGAAATTTTTGAGCCTGATGAGTATGCATCATTTTCAATAAAATGCAGCATTTACAGCCATCAAACATAAAGGAACAAGTGAAGGCAGGAGGCATGTCATAGCGGATTTGAATGCATTAAAGAGGGAAACTTAAACAAGAAATTCTTGGCCACCTAGTGCCTTCTCAAGTCAAGAGACAAAAGTTCATGTTCTCTCCCCAGTCCTTCCAATCAGCTGGGGAAATATACTGCAAGTTATACTCCGCAATTTAAAATAACATTATTTGGAAAAGGATCTAGTCACACTTTTCATTCTAGACTACATACAGCTATTAAGCTGCACTAACATCAACAACACTGCCAAAAATGGTTAACAAAAGGGAGCATGCAGCAGTAGTGGAAGAAAATCAACTGCAGAGGACAAAGGGAAAAGGTAAAACAAACAATACCTTTCTATGTATTCAAAACAGGAGGCATTGTTGCAAATGGTAGAATGCCTGCATCCAATGTACAATAATTTTCTCCAAGGAATTTGATCTTAAGCAAAATGACAACCGACGAGCCACTCTACAATGCTTGATTTGACCTGAGACTTTACAATAATTGAATTGCTAGCAGAATTGGAGTATCATGACAAGTAATGACCAACTAACATCATCCAAATTCTTCATTCATCACATAAAAATAAAATAAACGGGCTAGTATTTTTTATTGGAACACAGAGTGAGCTAAGCAAGTTACTAACACAACAAACTACTGCACAAGCAATCGTATTATCAAAATAACATATGCCTATGTTTGAAGACTAGAGTATGATTAACTCTAACACCAGCCCAATATTGACCATAGCATCTGCTAACCATATAAATTAACTATGAAAGCTCTCAAGGCATTTACAAGGATAACCAAAAGTGACAGAATTCCAGCTCTACTTAAGCAGCTGTAGCTGGCAGGCACCATTCATTTGACATGCAAGCCATATCCAAAATAGCTCACCCATATTCAAAACTTGATCAATGCTGCGCCCATTGAATCTGCTTAATATCAATCCCTTCCTTCACCATCTCATAAAGTGGACTCATTTCCCTCAATTTTTCAACCTGTTTCACAGTAAGGTCGACAGCCCTATCAATCTCCTCCTCAGTAGTAAATCTCCCAATCCCAAACCTAATTGAAGTATGTGCCATATCCTCATCCACACCCAATGCTCTCAAAACATATGAAGGCTCCAAACTTGCACTTGTACACGCACTCCCACTAGACACCGCCACGTCTTTCAACCCCATCAACAAACTCTCCCCTTCAACATATGCAAATGACAAGTTCAAATTCCCAACATACCTCCTCTCCATACTCCCATTCACCACCACCCCATCAATCTTCTCCCTAATCCCATTCAACAACCTCTCTTGCAAACCCTTAATTCTCCTCTCATCATACTCCATTTCTTTCATTGCCAACTCACACGCTGCTCCCATCCCAACAACAAGCGGAGTAGGCACAGTCCCACTCCTTATCCCTCTCTCTTGCCCACCTCCATTCATTTGCGGCTCAACTCTAATACGTGGCCGCCTTCTCATATACAAAGCCCCAACTCCTTTTGGTCCATAAATCTTATGCCCACTTAAACTCATTAAACTAACATTCCATTTGTTCACATCAACCTTAATCTTCCCTAAAGCTTGTGCTGCGTCAGTGTGAAAAGGGACATTAAATTCTTTACAAATTCTACCAATTTCCTCAACCGGTTGAATCACCCCAATTTCATTATTGACCGCCATCACAGAAACTAACCCGGTATCGGGCCGGATTTCTTTTCTTAACTTATCCAAATCAATAAGCCCATCAGACCCAACAGGCAAGTACGTTACCTCAAAACCTTCCTGTTGAAGATGCCGGCAAGAATCCAACACGCATTTGTGCTCCGTCTGCGTCGTTATGACATGACGCTTCTTGTCTTTGTAAAAACGCATAACGCCTTTGACTGAGATGTTGTTCGATTCGGTGGCGCCGGAAGTGAAGACGATTTCTCGCGGCGAAGCCCCGATAAGTTCGGCGACTTGTGCGCGGGCGGTTTCGACGGCGGTTTCCGATTCCCAACCGTAGAGGTGAGTACGGGAGTGAGGGTTGCCGTAACGGCTGAGGTAAAAAGGAAGCATCGAATCTAAAACCCTGGGGTCCACTGGGGAAGTCGCTTGCATGTCGAGGTAAAGAGGACGGCCCGCGATTTTCACGCCTTTCATGATAATTCCTTCTGTGTCCTCATACTCTGTTGGGGATGCAACGGCGGCCGCGGTGGAGAAGCGGCGGAGAAGGGTGGTTTGTTTAGTTTTGATTAGGGTTTGACGAAGAAGCTTCAAGGCCATTCTTTTTTCCTCTATACTTGGGATATTGGTTTTGTTTTCTTTTTGCGGCGTTATATAGAAGCAAAGTTGAAGGAGAAGAAGAAGTGCGGCTGAAGTGGGAGTTGATAAAAGCAATAATATATATATATATATATATATATAAATAAAGTTAAATTATTTAAAAAATTTACATAAATATTTATTTTTTATTTTGAATTTTATTTTTATTTTAAATTAAATTAATTTTCTAATTAATAATTAATTTAATTAAAATAATATTTATTATTTTATATAATATAATATTGATGTGATATTTAATATTATAATTAATAATAATATATAGTATTATTTTAATATTTATTATTTTATGTAATATAATATTGATTTTATATTTTAATAAATTTTAATTATAATAATATAACATGTCAATTAATCATGATAACAAAATATATAATTTTTTTAATTTTTATATCAATATCGATATGTGAATACAAATATCAATTAGTATTGTATTTAAAATAATTAATTATAAAAATTAATTTAATTAAAATTAAAAAATAAAAATTTATTTAAATAATTTAAAATTTATTTGAACACTAACCTTGATAGAATTATTAATCATCGTCCGACTTTTAAGATCTCGATGTGACACGTGGCAGCTATCTGTCATTTGAAGAAAGAAGTGAATAGTTTAATGATGTTTCGATGAGGAGTTTACAATCGTTACCACCTCCCGATGTTCAGTTCTCTTCCGAAACGAAAGCGACTCAGGAGGATAACCATTAAAAACGACGTAGTTTGATGATTATTTGATGCCACACGCAATTAAGGCAGTGAAGACATTAGGGGAACGAAGAGTAAGATTTGCTGAGAATATATAACTAAATACTAAATAAAATCTTATTTTGTTGTCTTTTTGAGAAGTACGATAGCTCCGGTGTGTGAAACACTCCGTTTTTTCCATTTCCAGATCCGATCTCACATTGGCACCGACACCAAAGCTTGTACTGAAAAATTTTCAATCTTGAAATCAAGATTTCTCTCTCCCTTTTTGCCTTTTCAAAACTCCTCGACATATAGCCATTCTCGGAATTCCCACTTAAAAAGGGAGGGTTGGCTTTGTAGTTTCTTTGGGATCATTTGGCTTCCAGGTAAGTCTCTGTCAAAGCTTTTTCCTAGTTAATTTTGAAATGTTAAAAAAATGGGTTTGCTTTGAAATGCAAGTGGGTTTGATTTGTTTCCGATTGTGTACTGTTACCAGTCAAATTTCTGAATAACTGGATGAAAACGTGGGTTGGGTTTTCGTTGTGCTTGGTTATTTGGTGATTCTACGAGCCAAATGGTGGAGTTTTCAACTTTTATTTTTCTTTTTGTGTCGTTTTCTCTTAAAATGACAAAAAGAGTTTGAAAAAAAATTTATTTCTTGGTTAAAGCTTTTAATAAGCACTGGGTTCTAGTGTCGGTGGTGCAATGATCTCTGTTTCTGTTACTTTATAAGGTTTGATCTCTGCTTGTTTAAGTGGTGTCATTAATGTCTTTAGCCATATTTTGTCATCCTTCTTCTTCATCTTTTCTCTTTCCTTTGGATTAGGTTAGTATAATTAGTATTATACCATTATTAGTGTCTTTAACCATATTTTGTCATCCTTCTCTTCATCGTTTCTCTTTCCTTTGGATTAGTCTAGTATAATTGGTATTATGCTATTGTTAGTCTCTTTAATCATATTTTCCTATGGAAAGTGGAAAGTTTAATATCTGTGCTTTATTCATTTATGACGAATGAAAGCTTGTGAATTTTATTTTTGTTCATGATAAACTACCTTTTGAGCTTTAGTTCATGGGATGCTCTGGTTTCCATTGCATATGTTTTCTTTCAATAATAGTTTTATTGTCTGTTTGAGTTTTGACGTGCATACTGTCATATGAGGCTGTTACTTTTTTATCGCAATCTTCTCATTGATGAAATATGAAGTTGAATTGTATGAATATATCTGTTAATTGTCAAACATGTGTTGATGAATTCTGATGTTTGTCGTGTTTTCTGGCAGGTTTGTTGAAGGAAGTTCATCATGTTCAGGCTTTCACCTCGGAGGAACCAAAGATCTAAGGGTTTCAAGGTAAAGCATGCTCTACAAATATGTCTTCTGGTTGGTGTTTGTATCTGGCTGCTTTACCAAGTGAGGCACTCTAATGAGAAGAAAGCAGCATATGAGAAATCAGGGAATGAAGTCATAAAGTTGGGGAGAAAGGACCTTCCTCAGGCAGAGGAAACAACTATTCAGGATGCAAGGCACAAGGAGGAAGAAGAGGAAGAAGAGAACAAGCCTGAGGATACTGAAAATGTGGGAAGAGAGAACGGGGATGATGATGCAATGCACGAGCATGATAATGACAAACCTGAAGAGGAAACAGAGCACAGAGAAGTTTCAATAGGCGGAGAGAAGGAAAATGAAGAAAGTGGGAACAATGATAGTGAAGAGAAGGAGACTGAAGAGACTAAAGAGACTAAAGAGAAGGAAGGTGAGGAGAAAGAAAGTGAAGAGAGTAAAGAGAAGGAGATAGAAGAGAGCAAAGAAAAGGAAAATGAAGAGAGGAAAGAGGAAAATGAAAACAAAGAGAGTAAAGAGGACAGTGAAAACAAAGAGAGTGAAGTCAGCACAGAGGACAGTGAAAATAAGGTAAATGAGGAGACACAAGAAGTCAATAATCAAGAGAACGAAAACACTGAGGAGAGTCAAGAAAAGGAAAATAAACAGATTGGGGAAGAAAGTAATGAAATGGAAAGCGGAGAGAAAGAGTCAGAAAAGAGTGAGAACTCAGGTACTTCAGATGACCAGGTTCATGATGGAACTGACACAAATAATGCAGAAGCAAGAGAGGAACATTACAAGGGGGATGATGCTTCCAGCGAAGTAGTCCATGATATCCAACATGTAGCAGTTGAGAAGGAGATAAGTAGTTCAGAAAATTCCAATGAGTCAGAGCAGTTGGAAAGCAAAGATAAAAATGAATTTGACCAGGAGAACAAAACAAACAGCACTGAAGCATCCAATGTCCATCATGATGATGCAAATGTGCTAGAAAATGAAACAACTGAAAACAATCAAGAGAGCGGTAATGAGAGCAATCAGGCTGAGTCAAAGGAAGATTCCCATCCTGATTCCCTCACAGCGACAGAGCACCAGAATGAGACAGATACAGCACCCGATACAACTCAGATTGTAGATCATGTGGCTAAACAATCTGAGAAATCTGACTTAAGTGGCAATGGTGAGCAATCAGATTCAAATGCAACTCCAAGTTCAACTGAGAATGGTGATGGAGCTAATGGAGGTTCTACAAGCTCTACCAGTAACTCTGAATCTATTGAGTCAAACAGACAGACTGAGAACTCCAATGCATGGACAGGATCAGACAGTAAAACTGCACTTTCAGTTACAAGCCAAAATGATAACTCAGTTCAGAGCAAAGAATCCAACAATAATTCTGGAGGAGAGGGGACACAGGAAAATGTTCTGTCATTAAAAACAAATGACAATTCCAATACTGACCAGAACGAAGGTGGTCATTCTTCTGATTCATCAATTCCTAAAGAGAGTGAAACATCCTCAAACACAAATGAAAATGCTGGTGCAGGTATGAATGAAAATGATAGTGGCGATACCAGCAATGATGCAAATGCAAATGGGAAAGACAGCAGTGCTGACAGTCAGAGTAACACCAATGACAATTCAAATGCAAATGAAGATGTTGCTCAAAAGGACAACAAGAATTCAAATGTAAATGAAAATACTGCTCGGAGCACCACCAACAATAATGAAAATGTTGATCAGAGTGTGAACAATGTCTCTGAGAGCAATACCAACAATGAAAATGCAGGTCAGAGTGAGAACAATGCTGCTCAGAGCAATACCAACAATGAAAATGCAGGTCAGAAGGAGAACAATGCTGCTCAGAGCAACAATGAAAGTGCACGTCAGAATGAGAGCAATGATGCTGTTCAGAGCAACACCAACAACAATAAAAACACAAATTACAATGAGAACAATGCCGCCCAGACCTACAATAACGGAAATGCAGGGCAGAATGAGAACAATGCTTCTCATAGCTACAGTGACAAAAATGGAAATCCGGGTGAGAATGAGAACAATAATGCTCTGCAGAGCTACACCGACAACAACAAAAATGCTAATGACGATGTAAATTCAGACCCAAAGGAATCAGTCGATTCTTCAAATTCAACAGATGCATCATCAAATACAGATGGAAGCACTGATGCAAACCAGAATAATTCCAATGTTTCTTCTGATGCTTCAACTTCTCAAGAAGTGAAACAAGCTTAAACAGATTTGGAAACTTTGCCAGATGCAAGAGCTGAGGCGAATAACGGTGAGAATGCAGCTGCAGAGTGAAATTCCTGATGGTTTGTTGTTCACTACATGACCTCCTACTGTCATTAAATTTTTGTTTTCTTCTTCCTAAGATGATCAGGCATTTGTATGTTCCTGGTTACATGGCTTTGTTGTCATATTAGTGCTGAAAATATTATTTTGTGCTTGTAGATGTCCACGAATAATGATTGATATTCCAAGTTTTCATAAGCCACTGATGTAAGGTTTACATTTTGTTCTACTGTCTGGCAAAAATGAAAGTCGTTAGTTTGATCCAACAGAATATCTTTCGATAAATTTTTCTGCAAATGTGACTAGTTGCTGCATAAATCATCAATTTTTTTTTTTTTTTGAGAAGCAAATAAATCATCAATTTTGACATATGACTGCCAGTTTTATGCCAAATCCATGGGTTTGAATGTGTGGCTTTACTTGCAAGGAGCAGTGGAGTTGGCAAAGCAGTAAAACCTGATAGTGCTCCAAGACCTAAAATCTTACCTTTAAAACCCAACCATTGACCTTTATCTTAGACATCTCAATTTCTGCTGGGATGTCCCTTTGGTTCAGGCTATTCATGACCTTGTGTATAAGATCTTTATCTCAAGCTTATATACTAACTATCCTGTATTCCTCCCTCTTAGTAGAATAACAATGTCTTGGTAATTCAAACAGGGTTGTCCTGTTGCCTCATCTTGGTTTTTAGGTTATATATATTCAAAACCAAAACTTAGACAGCAAGGCAATGCTACATGCATATAATCATAAAAGATTAATGACTTAACAATTAATAATCGATGCGGTGAGTTACAAGTGCAATTTTTTCACATACCAATGACTAAATTCACGAGTGAAATTAGATCTGTAGTTCTAACATTCTTGCTAATGAAAAGACCATGCATCTAACAATGCTGTGAAAACACTGGTTTCCGTACGAAAGGGCTCCAGTGACTTGTCATTTTCTTACCAGTATCCCCGTTCTCCCAAATCAATTTTCTTGTCACATTCTCACCAACATTCTCCTCTCTCTATAGGTAGCCTCAAACCTCAAATCTCAAATCATTTTCCTGTAGCTGCACTCACTTTCGTTATTCCAACCACACGAGAACTTGGCGGGGGCCATTTAGAAGTTACCAGCGAAAGCAGCCACCGACACCCCAACATCCCATTTAACTCTCACCAATAGTTTAGGTTGACCAAGTAATAAGCAGCTGAAAATGAGAGGGAAATACTATCCAGAATGAAAAGAACAAACAAAAAATAATAATGAATCGGGTGAAAATTCCAAATGCAACCCCTTTTGGCAGCCAGGTATTTTGATGCTTGATGGGTTGGAAAAGAAAATTTCGTTCCGTATAGTTTATTGAGTAGCAATACAACAATAGCTAAGAAAGTGAGGTCGAAAGAAAACAATCCAAACCATCATTAATCTTATTTGGAAACAGAGTATGGTAGACGCAACCATACAGAAAGCCTAATCAACTTGCAATGCAATGCAAGTCTTGAAATCCAGAAAGCAAAATGAAAGTGCTCAAATTAACATCCAAGAAAAGATTCACAGTTATCTGATTGATCTGTCTGACAAATGAAGAAAATGTGCTAAACTCAGAAAGATTGTGTCCAATAGGCCAACCGTTGTCCTAGTGGTGTTTCTTCTCGAACAGACCATCTGGACCTGAATACCATGATAAAATGAAGAAAGGACCACATCAATCGATATAAATAAATAGATATATGTGAATAATAAGCATTATTTATGCCGTCCGTAACCAAACATACATGCACTTCGGATAGTCAAAAGCACAATTAGCTATTATAAATGACAACACTAATCCTTTTAACTAGATTCATTGCTCAATCATCAACATATTTCTTTTAAATAGGCTCATCAATCACAACAAACAACAATACATGCTAATATTCTCTAATATTCAAAATGCACTTACAGAGAGGCAACCCTAAACCAGCAATAATAACATCGATAAGGCTAACAAAAATCCTGAATTTATAAATGTGAAATGGCTGAGCTATAATACTTTATGAAATAATAAATATGGTGATTTTTGACAGCTCGCCAATTGGCAAGTACAGGTAATTAAGCTTTCTATCATTTTGAAAAAGGAAAAGAAAAAAAAAAGGAATCTTTATGAAATTTGAAAACAAAAAACAGAACACAGGAAAAACTTGAATTCCGTTCTTCATAAGATCTTTTATGTTGGTTAAAACCTATATAAAATCAGAGACAGCTAAACTCAATGATGTAACTATAATATGATTGAAATGAAAACAAATTTTAAACAAGGCCTTGCATTGAATTAAAGTCTTAGCAATTTATTAAGGGCTTAGGCATGGAAAGATAAATTAAAATGCTCTCTGATATATCTTCAAACAATGATAATAAGGATAGGCTGATGGGGGGAATTCTACCTAGTATTCCATATAGGAGAAAGTTTTCAAATTGTGTTGTAAGTTGTAAAGTATAATCTACCGTAAATGGGAGGTACACATTCATCATATAACACAGTTTCTGCTTCTAATCCAGTATAGAAGTGCAAAGAGCAAGTGAGCAAGTGAGAGAGAGGACTAAAAAAATAGTCATTTTTTAATGGGTAAAACATGGAAAAGTCATAATTACCAGTAACCAAATTAAGTTAAAAATAAAAGGACAACCATAATTGATTGTCAGTTAGCACATTCCCATATATGTAATGTGCACGTTACAATGTGCTGGCAATTTTTAAGTCTCCATATAAATTACGTAGTGTTTGGATGCTTAAAAAGGCAAGTGATTTGTACAAAAAAGAATTGAATTTATTTCCTTTTTAACCAAATTCAATAGGGTTCCAGTTGGTTTTGGTTCCAAAACAGACCTTAAATTCTCTAAGTTTTTCTAGAACTCCTTCCTTCTTGGACTTTAAAGAAAAAGGGTGAAAAGAAAACAAAAAGAAAAGAAAAATCCAGATATGCCTTTAATTGCCATGGAAAGGCTTAAAATCTAACAACAACATCCAAATAAAGCCCAAATAAATTGAAATCACAGCAATTAGGACAACATACCCCACGGGAATTCCTTGTTGCGAATGTGCAGATATGGGTATGCCTGCACACATTCACACAATCCAACAGTCAGTCACAAAAGAATAATGTACATTTGAAATGTGAATGTAAATCATATCTAGACCTAAAAACATCAGTATTTTAAAAAATAATGAATAAAATTAAAAGGCTAGCTCACTGGGGGCTCCTCATAGTGGTGATGTCCCTTCGATAGGTTATAAATCGCTAAAACAGTGCAGGTAGCAATTCCTAAATATGTTATTTTCTCCCATTTCGCCGTTTCATCTGAAAAAAAAAAATGTATACATTATCATAAATTCCTGTTTTAAAAATATAAACTCGGATTTTATTAAGCTGTCTGGACTTTCGATGATAAGACTAAATTCCATTTTACTTTTTCTTCTATTTCTAACACAGATTCGATCAAAATGTCGAGGATAAACTAAAAAATAAAACCCTAGAACATCAAAAACGGTAAAGAAAATCAAAACATAATCAATCCGTAGGTGAAAAAAGAAAACTGATTGAAATCAGATCGAAAGAGATTAAAATTTGTAAAAAAAAAAAAAAAAAAGCTCGCATACAAGCATCATCGTGATGAGAAGAGGAAGCGAAGCCTCGCTTGGGGGTAGCAGAAGGGCGAGAACCACCGCGAAGAACGGTTCGGAGGAAACCAGATCGCACGCTTGCCATCGCCATTTTTTCTTTCGGTTTTTTTCTATTGAATCGCTACCTGGAAACCCTTTTGTTTTGCACTCTTTATTTTGTCAGCGACGAGAAGAGAATGGGATTAGCACGTGCGAAGTATGTGCTGTTCTTTTTTTCTTTTTTTTTTCTCTCAATTCCTTAATTTTTTGTAAAGAAATTAGTAAATATTGAAAAATATTAAAATATAATCATATTTGGAAGATTTGTTCTAGATGACAATGTTATTATCTCTTTGCTCTTTTTTAAGAATTCTCAATTGTGATCCTTTTTAAGCAAAACATTGCCTTTTTTAATACAGCAACTTCCTTCCTATTTTACTTTTTCTTTTTTTTTTTGTAAAATTAAATACATATTGATGCATTTAATCAAACACCTTCTTTCAATACAAGCAGTTGCTGGTAATTGCTAACATAGATTGTGCTAAAAACAGAGTAAATAATCAATATTTTTTTTCCAATTGAGTTATTTATGATAAAAGAACTTGTTAACTTTTGTCAATTAAAGGGAGCAATTGAATAAAAATCATGGCTTTCTTCCATTGGCCTCACATTCTTAACTTCAAATTACTGAAGTAGATGACTAGGATGCAGTTTTGTCTAATGCAAGAAACAAGTGATAAGTGATTGCAAAGATAATCTCTCCTTCACTGCAAGCTAATTCAGAAAAAAGAGAACTTTCAACCCTCAAAAGTATGCAAACAATGACTGTTTCTCACCCCTTTTTTTTTTCAAGGGAGTTCAAGTATTTCTAACAAGACTATCTGCATAGCCAGCGCTGCTGTGTCTGGCCTCTCAGGATGAATATTATAAGATCAAATCTGCTATTGCATATCGGCAAATAAGGATTTTGTATGAAACAATCTTGGATTCTCCATCAATCACAAAGCAATTGTTTCATGAATTGAAGCATACCAAAAAAAAAAGCGCATAAAAAACGGTAGACATAGGGCCGGAAGAAACCAGTTTATTATTATTGATTTTCAATTTATTCGGTTTCCATTCCTCATCCCAACAGACAAAACAGAGAGGATTGACTAAGATCAGTTCACATAAATTGAAGCACCTTTGCCAAGACACCCTAGACACACCCTCTCCCAACTGACTGATTGGGGTAAAATTAATTTGCATGACCAACATCATGGTCATGAGGATCAGCAGAAGAATTACCCTCGGTGGTTCCACCGAGGGAAGCATCACTTTCTCCAGCCAATATAGAAGTTGAAGCAGCAGCCTCGACTGAAAGTTCCTGCATGCGCTTCCTCAGTTTCACCTTAAACTCCTCCAGCATTGATTTCAGTGTCAAGAGCTCCTCCAAGTTAAGTTCATCAACTGGTCTTTCCACCAAGCTTTGGCCCTGGCTTTGGCTCTCCATCCTCATCTGTTTGAGTCTCTCACCTCGAAGTTTTTCAGCGTTCAGTTTTTCCGTAATATCAGAGTATTCTTTGTTAAGCTCACGCAGAGAGGCCTCATACTCAGCCTCAGTGCACTGGATTGCTTCCAGATCTGGCTTACTCAAGTTGGGAAGCCTGTTCATAATAGTGTCAACACCAGGATGGCCAAAGGAGAAGGCCTTGCCACCGGGAGAGAAAACGACAAGGGCAGTCTCAACAGCACATAAGGTGCAGAGTTCCCTGGCCTTCTTGAAGAGGCCAGATCGACGTTTGGAGAAAGCAACCTGCCGAGCATCTGCTCCAGGAATCATCCACATTTGAGTCCTTCGGCGGCCCTTGCTTGACGATCCTGCCATTGAGAAACTACTAGAAAAGCAATGAATAAGAAGTCTTAGGGAATTGCTTGTGAAATTTGGAGGACAAATGCACCTTATTTATAGGGCTTTGAAGCCTACGCTAGTACGCAAAGGTATCCAACTCTCATTCCCGGATTGGTCACACCTCTGTTTCCTTCCATATATTACCTTGGCAGTTGTGCATTCAGAATAAACTCTTCTAATTTGTTTTACTACTTATTGCTAAATGACAATACTTGAATATCCTTCGTTGGCATACTTAAACAGAATCAATCAATTAGTATTTGGAGGCAAACGGAAGTTTTCCAGGAAGTTTGCCATAGCTGCATGGAAAAATGTAATAAGCCTACCAAACTTGTCTACAGGATGCATAATGGCATTAAATGTTTCAAGACGTAATATTCCTTCAATTACTTAAGTTTTCATAAGCAGACGTGTAAGTCTAGCTTTCAATTAGCAAGGAATGAAGCAGGCAAGCAAGGCTTTCTTCTTTCTTTTAGAGTGAGAAATGAAAACCAAACGAGTCAAAGCAATCTTCTGCTAATAGGGTTTAAGTAATTAAGGTAATACTACAAGTCTTGAAGCATTAAATGCTGTAATATTATTCCAATAAACGAATTTGGTAAGTGTCTTATTTTTTCCCATGCAGCTATGGCAGGTGTATCCAGGAAATTAACTTCCATTGCATCCAAACACTAACAATCTGATTCAATTTAAGTGCTCAACTTACCCTACAACCCAAACTACAAGTAGAACTACAGGATTCATATACAGTGCTTTGAGCACCCTATTTCTGGTACCAGAAACCTGGCCGCAAATTTACCACAATAAAGCAAGCAATTTAATATAAGTTTAAGAATTGGTAACAAATAATGACCACATTAGAATTGGTAATAATTGCTGACCTCTATTATTACATTAAATTGTTATGAATTGTAACTTTTCTATTTGAAATGCGGACACAAGCATGAGGAAAGATCTTTGCCATCAGACTGTGATTATATTAATGTTATGGCAGGTTTCATTGTCAATCAAAAAACGCATTCACCTGAAATTTAAAGGACTGCTATCATGGCAAACTAATTTATCTGAGTAGAATTAAATTGCTTTCCTTAGTTTACAAGAACTTTTTACTGGGCGCCACAGAGAGTTATCATGAAGATGGGTGTAAATGGTGTGACTTAAGCCTGAGAATTCTAATAGGAACTGGATTCTTATAATCAAAGCCATATTACATGATACAAACACATGGTATGACAATAATAACAGCAAAATTTGATAGATCTGTGGTTGTTGTAAATTGTCAGAACCATGAAAAAGGCACTCCTTTTAATATTTCTAGAGATCTCTCATTTTTTGAATCATATTAATCAAGCTTGATAGTAACACACTTAATTCAACCGCACAAAGAAGAGGGAAGTAACTTTCTAGTAGAGAGGTTGCAACTAAATTAAGAGTTCAACTTGCCTTGACTCACAACAGAATACATATTTCAGATTTACATCTTGTTTTTCAACTTAAAGCATATGCATAAGAAAAAAACCAACCCTGCTCTTGCTGTGGATATTACACTTTTGAGTTTGAGAACTGTCTAAAAATTCCTCATGTCATTTATTATTCTTGAGTCTGAACTTAATGGATGAGCGTAACAGTCTTTACTCATAAATATGCTATTATATATTCAAATCATGCATCTGCAACTCTAAACCTTACAATTAATACCAAATCCTTTTGCCTTCTTCATCAAACATTTTTAAGCCATTTCTGCTACATTTTCTACCATCAGTCTAGACACACTGCATTAATCCTCATTCCATGAGGCACGCACCACAACTATGCAAAAGAATGCAATATTTATAGAAACGCAAAGATAATTTTGGAAAAATAAAAGGTCAAGGACAGCTAGTATTGAGGGAAATGAAGATTCAAAACCAAGTATCAAGCTGATTTCAAAAATATCCTGGATGTGATGATAATACTGTCAATAATTTCATCCCGAGGAAAAAGTTATTTCTTCCTCCTTTCTTTTTCATTTATCTCATAACTGTTAAAAAATTTGGTTGGAAATGAGGCACAACTTGAACAGACACAAAAATAGACTTTGCTGGAATAATGTACAGTACCCTTACTTCTAACATTAATAAAAGGAAGAAAACATCTTCCAGAAAAATCAGTCAATTTCAAAAAATTTGGATATCTGATCATCAATCTCAACAAGTTCGGATATCTACATGCACCCCCCACAGTTGCCTCTTTATCAAACAGCTCATACGCCTGAAGTCAGTTACAGCTACTGCTAAAATGTGATGATAAATTTCAACATTTCCAAATACAAGCCTTATAGATAAGATGCGGTTGTACTAGCCTATAAGAAAACTAGAAAGCTACCATTGCTTTAACATAAGTATGCACTTATTGTGTAGTATGATTCCAAACTAGCTCCGATGGTAAATTTCATTCTTATTTCTTGATTTCAAGAGTATTTTAGCTTTTTATGATTGATTTTCACACAGTAATATATTCCATCCTATCCATGACTCTGAGGGTAAATTTTACACCGTTTTTTTTTCCAGCAAATTTGTGAGTGCAATATCAACTTCTCCTCTAGGTATGTCATTGTCAAGAAATAATCTTGTAATCTAAATTCAGAGGGGCATACCACAAAGTGGGATAATAAAGGCAGTTGATACATTATGGAACTAAATGCTGAACATTTCAGACATCATTAACTGGATTATTTAAGCTTTGTTTGGTTAATGTTTTTACTGTTTGCTATTTTACCTTTTTTGTGCAAAACATAAATAATGAATAAAAAACAAAAGGCAAATGGCAATTGCACAATCAAGCCAAGCCTTAGTTAAAATCTAAGCCTATTAAATTTTTAAATTAAGGATGAACCAACCAAATTCTGACAGTTATCTTAAGGGCTGACATGTGACGGTCCTACGAATAGTAACTATGCTTCTCTTATATGTTCAATCATGATAACTTATTTTACCAAACATTATTTATATAATTAGTTAGTTTCCTTAACCCTTTCGTATTTTATAGCCTCATTCAAGTATCTTTCCATTTGATAACAAGATATCAAAATTGGTTTTACTTTTCAACTAATCTGATAACAAATTCAAAAATAAAACCTATTCTCATTATAAAAAACTCCAATCCCTGGTGGTCTCCATTTCACTGTCTTACAGCCAGCTAGAATCAGCCAACAAGAGAATGAAACCAATCTCTGGACAGAAAATAAAATTGAATCTAACTCTACCAGCTCGAAGAAATTGTCAGCAATTCATAGCTATCAACAATAAAAAGTTATTCCGGATTCCTCCTCCCCCAAGTTTATAATGAGTTTTTCTCCTGCTACATCTAGTCTGACCATGACTAAGTAATTGTTCTTGCATTTGACAAACAACTGCTGCCAGCATTCCTTCTCAAACTTCATTGTCGAATACTTTGGAGTACCATTAATTTCTACAATTAAACATCAGACGAAAATCTTATCTAGAACCAATTAGAAAACAAAAATTGAATTAATACAAGTGCCAAACAATATGATGCAAAGTTAAATCTTCATGGTATGGCAGCAAAGAACCAAACTAAATAGCATGAATGTGAAGAATGAATCAACGTCAAACCGAATGCTAAAAGACATAACCAGTTGAGAGACACCAAGCCCCGCTTTGTCTGTGAGCTTCACTCCGACGTGAACAGCAAAGAGAAGCCTTGCATCAGCGTGAAATGAAATCCCCCGCACCGAAAAACCACCCCAAAAAAGAAAAGAATCTTGATAGTGACAAGAACCTACGCCCAAACCAACGTTTCTGATCCTTTGTAGCTGAACTAGAAAGGTTCGTGCGTCTTTCTTGTGAGATTTGGTTAAACTGTGTTTAGTAAGAAAAAGAAAAAAAAAATCGAATGAAAAATGTTTTTCACTTGTTTTTACCCTTCTCCTGTTCTGCAAACATGGTAGTAGACTACTAGCATTGAGCTTGTGGCCTTGTGGGAAGAAAAGGAGCTAAAAATTCGAAACTGAGCCTAAATTTTAACTGAGATGGGACGTCAAAGGTCAGTCAAGCTGGGCCCAATAAAGAACCATGAATCCAATAAATAAAAGGGAGTAATTTGCCTGTTGCAGGCCCAATTACATATCTAAGTCGAATTTTCAAAGCTGTAACCAGACGCAAACCGACCATGCAAGCTAGCAATTCTCATCCATCGACACTAGCAAATCAAAATATCCAAAATTGACTTATTTTCCAAACGCGTTGAACCAAAAATTTCTGCTATGGCTTGAAAGTTGAATACTTCCATCCAAGAAAAAGACCCAAAATTTTCCCACATGCCACCTCTCACGATCTCAAGACAATGCACAGCTTAGACCGTTGTCTTACATGCCAAGTTTCAAAGTCACCGCCAACACGAGACGCGTCCGAAAATTTGAACATTCTATGAGGAAACGAGGGTCATTTGGTTTCCCCTCTTTTGGGAGGTGGGGGCCTGGTTTTGTTAAACTGACCTCGTGCATGGTTCTATTTAAGGTTGCTATAGTCAAGCCGAAAAGGTCAGGACGGGTACAGTAGAAAGGGTCACCGATCCACACTCCCTAGACCCCTGAACTGCAGACCAAATTTGGTTTGAAGCCTTGAATGAGCCACGACAAAATTCAGTTTGATGACAATGGCTTTGTATTGGGTTCAAATCTGTACAACCTTTTTTCTTTGGTCCAAAGTAAGAGGGTTCGGTTTCTTCATGCATTAAATTTGATAAACTTCTGTCAGCACACGAAGTTCTTAGTTGGCATGTACAACTTTCAATGAAGACTCTTTCCATTAAGTCAAATATATAATGATAATTGAAGGAAGTTTTTATAGCTATTTTCCACAAAATCCTTGCTATCATCCCTTAATAAGACCAGCAAAACTGCAAATGTCTCCTCTTCATTGCATTCAAAAATGTCCGCGGTCCCCTACTCACCACTCCAAGCTCATCAAGATTTCATATATATATAGCTTGTGATAGATATAAAGGGACCATTGGCCATATGCATTTCTAACAAGAATATTGAGGATCGACTTTATATGTATCCTTATACACGAGAGAAAAATTATTTACAAAAAAAAAATCCAATGTTTGAATGTTAGTTATACAAAAAAAAAAATGAAAGTATGTAGTAATTCTACTAAAAAAATTAAATGCTTATAAATTTATTCTTATCAATTTTCCGCCATTTGTGAGGAGTTCCCATAAAATACTCTGATTATGGTAAACAGGTGAGCTGAGGTGAGGTTCATCACAATTCAAGTGATTACAGTTGAATCAACTGTCTGATACTGCAGTTTTTTGATGATCATCTTCCTCGATGCAACAGCTACTCGGACGTTGAAGTTTCAAACAAGGCGTTTCTTCTACAAGGTTAGCAAGCTCTTCATCACCGTCATCGTCATCCTTATCAATAATATCGAAGAGATCAAGCGAGTACACCACATCTTCCCTAGTCCATCCCGCACGTAATAACACAACAGACAAGACCCTCACGTGCCATGCCGCATCCTTACCGTCCATCACCAATCGGGTCCCACTCTTTTCCTTGTTCTCGTTATGATCACAGCCGTCGATCATCATCATCTCCCTCACCTCCTCCTCTCTCCACCCCCCCTCTCTCAACTTCCAAAACGCTTCCTCCAAACATCCCCCTAACCCCAAGTCCTCCCCTACGTCACCCCTACTCCACCACCCCCGCGTGACACCACGCTCCACAACTCTCCTTCCTTTCTCCGCCACGTCCGTCCAAAAGTCAATCCTCCGCGCCGTGGTCGCGGCCCAAGCCGGCACATTGTTATTAACACTATTGTTCTTCTTCCTCGTGAAAGGCTTAAAAACACCACGTCTTCTCAAGAATTCGACTTCTTGAAAAAACCTAGTAATATCAAAGCTCAAGATTCTAACCTCATCTCCATCAACGTAAAAAAAAGGGTTTCCCGCCATGTTTGGCGTCGAAGGGATATAACAATTTCTATAAATAGGAACAAGAAGAGGTGCTTTTTGTAATAAGCCTTTAACCAAAGCCAAAGCTTCATTGGAATTTGAAGGTTTGGGCCCCCAAGAATCGGACCAAAAGTTGTGTAACGTAATGTTCTTGGAAAGAGACAAGAGAGGAAGGTTAAGGAGAATGTTAAGTTGTTGAGGAGAAGAAGATCGCCAGTTTGGGAAAGAAGGGTCGACGGGGAGGCCTTCTTGGAGGATAGAGCGGAGGTCAGGAGGGAAAGTGAAGCGGAAAGTTGATTCGACGGAGGAGAATTCTTGATCAGTTAAGCCTGGAAGGATTGGAATATCAAGAGATTTAAGATGGTCAATAAGGGTTTTGGAATACGCAGCAAAAGAGAAACAAACAAGCTTTGATCTTGGTGGTCCTTTGGGTGCTTTCATTAAAGGGTGGGTTTGGGTTGTTGTTGCTGTTGCAGCCATTTATTTAGTTGATGAAGAAGGAAGGAAAAGAGGATGCTTTTCGAACGGCGGGTTCAAAGAAGATGATCGGGGAATTGTGAGATCCGTGGGGAATTCACAGAGAGGAATATTTGACTAAAATTGGGAGAGGGAGAGGGGGAGGAAATTCTAACGCCTCTCATGGGTGGCAAGGGATGGTGTGGGTTTACTTAAGGGAGAAGCCCCTGGGAAAGTGTGATGGAGAATGGCGAAGTCACGTGGAAGCCTCGTTGACGTTGTTGTCTGGTGCTTGTATGTAATTATCAGCCTGCACCTCTTGTTTCTTTCTTCAATTAAGGCTAAAATAAAATTGGATCGCAAGGTTGGAATTGCACATTTCTCTCCACCATCACCCCATTCCTTGAATTTGGGATGATATTTTATCACCACTGCAGAACAAGAAAAATTAAAATAAAGTATGTAGTCTTGTACTGTTATGTTAGAGATGATCAATTGATCGGTTCAATCAATTTGATTTGTCATAATTAAATACTAAATGGATAAAATATTTTTTAAAAATTAACAAAAATTGATTAAATTTAAAATAAAATCAAACTAATCAAATGTCGAATTGATTTTATCGATTTGATTTTAGATTAAAGGAATTAAAATTTTATCACTTGTATCTTTTATAAATTATAACATTAAATTTTATAAACTTAATCTATAATTATAAAATATATAAATAATATAAACATAAAAAATATATATAACATCTGTCCTTTTGCTCATATAATTAAGCCTTTTCACATAAATGATCAAATTCATCAAAGTAACATTTAAGAGTTTTAACTTTTAAATTTTAATATTTAAAGTTTAACATAATAAAGATAATAAAATTAACATGCATAAAATATGATCATCTAACACAAGAATAATCAATCATCGCATATCATGAACTTAGTAATAGGAAAATATATATTGAATTTAAAAAAAGTAAACTATATATTTTATATAAATTTAACAAATATATAATATTGTATATATATATATATATTAATATATATAATATTAGTTTTGTCTTTTGATTAATTCGATTTAAAATTTTTAAAATTAAGAACTGATTAAATAAATTAATTAAACCAATAGACCAATCGGATCAAACCATTTTACTTAAATTATATTCAATTTAATTTAGTAATTAATCTGATTCAATTTTACTCACCCTTACTTATATATGACAATCATTTGAGCTATTTTTGTTAAGTCTAATAAGTTTTCGTATATTTAAGATTCTGCCTCCAAATGTACTGTCTGGTAATGAAGTTCATCTTGATTGAAGGAGGGATGTGAAAGCATCAACTACTTTGGAGTGGCAAAATAGCATGGCAGTTGCAAACATAAATAAGAGAACAAGACTGCAATTTAATGAGAAATTATTAAAAGAATACTCCAACATGAAAACTACATGACATATATAAACCAGTTGCATAAAGAATAAATTTTAGAGTTGAACTTGAAGTTAAATCTACGGTTGTTATTTGGCAAGAACAAGATACATATAATGCAACGGATGATTGCAGATTATTTTAAAGAAATACAAGAATATTATTATAAGCACATGATTAATTTTTGAGACACTCAAATTGAAACCAGCTTTTTTATGATAGCAACCTAAAGATAGTATAAGATTTCAATTATTTTGTCCAATCAAAAACCCAAGTAATTTGACTATGATTCCCACGAGTGATACAATTTTTCTTCTCCTTACCTAAAAGAATTTTAATTGTCCCCTAACAGATTGATTTTAATAATAACCCACCATACATAAAGACCCAGAAATGGTCGCACCAGAACATGACACATCTTTTATTCATTTCAACATTTCTGAGAGTGATATCAATGTAGGGAATCAGCTTTAAAATTTGAAAAAGGAAGAAACTCATCTCAATTTTTCTTTCCCTTTGCCTGGATTTTATGATTCCAGAGGACCCACAATTCTGTTCTTATAATGCTTCAAGACAAATGGCTATGGGCTTCTGGAATTGTAGGAAGACTGCCATATGGCATGGATTTTAGTGTTAAGGAGGAATGATATACATTTGGGTCCATGAATTTAATATGGCGTAAAACATTGGAATCCAAGGCTTGCCTTGTTCAAACTTAGGTAGGATCAATTTAATTCTTTGTTTACTTTTGGTATCCTAAATATGCTTTTGTAACCTGCTCATATTAATAAACTTAAATATTTGATTAGGCGGGCAATTAATATAATCCCCTTGGTGTGGGTTTTTCTCATTGAGGTTGGAAGGATTTGTCTAATTACTTTATGTATCCACTAATTATCAATTAGATTTGGAATTTTGGATTCTTGTTCTTGATTAGTATGTTTAAAGAGTTCAAACTTTTTTTTCCTTTTTTTTATTAACTAATAATCTAAACTTTTAACTTTTAAACCAATAAAAAACACAAATAGAATAAAAGCATTTAAAACATAATAATGGGATATAAAATTGGAACTATTTTTTTTTTACGGGTTAGGATAAGAAACAAAAAATAAATAAAAGAAAATAAAAAGTCGAGGCCAGCTGGTAGGTCCATTTCATAACCCATATAAAAATAGGTAACACCACCTTATCTTATTTTTTGTCTAACATTTTAAATGGATTCGAACCAAGGTTGAGCCTGATCTGGTTGGTAACTACAAAGAGAAAGGAAATGACGACATTGTACAGCTGACACCACTCAATCAAAAAAAAATTATTTATTATATTATTTATTTAAAATTTTATGTAAATAATAATATTAATGAATTTATTATTTTTTTATAATTTTATAGAAAGTGGAGTTAAAAAGTAATTTTTATTAAAAAAATTATATATTCATAATATTTAAATATTTTTCTAAAAAAATATTTAAATAATATCAAAAAGTAGATTTATCAAAAAATAATTTATATATTAATATTTAAATACTATAGGAAAATATAAAAAAATTATAATTTAAAATTTTATTAAAGATATCAAAATCTAAACTACTCTTCCTTTTCAAAAATTTAAATCCTAATAATTCATTTTCTATCTTCAATAAAGAAAAATTGATTTGTATAACTCAATTGTACTTGTTTTTATTTTTCAAAATGGATTTAATGGCATTTAAAAGTCAACTTGAAAACTACATTGAAAATTTGCTATTGGATGAAAATTTTGTTGAATTCAATGGAATTGGTGAATTTGCAAGAAAGATAGTTGAGACAAATAAAAATACTGTGTAGCTTTTGGTTTATTTACTAGTAAAACTTGCCTTGATTTTACTAGTTGTAATAACGTCAGTTGAAAGAGTTTTTTTCAGTAATGAAATTTATAAAACACAGATTACGTAATCAAATAAGCGATGAATGGATGAATAATTACTTAGTGATATAAATTAAAAAGAGATGTATTTGATAATATTTTTGCTCATATTAATATGCAACGTTTTCAAAATATGAAAAATTATCGTAGATAATTATATTTTTTTATTTTGATGTATTAAATGAATGTGTTGAATTTATATTTTTTTAATTTAAAAATTCAAATATATTTATTTTGTAATTATTATTATTTAAATTATGATAACATTAAAAAAAATCTTAATTCCTATCTTACGCCTTAGGATTGAAAATATTAGAAGATGCTAAACCTTTGGTTTGGTAAGCATTGGAGACTGTGAGTAAAAACATTTTCTTTCTTTCCAATTTTCTATACAAAACCGTTGTACAACACGGCACCATGTTTTTCTTTGTAAAAACCTTCCTATAAAACATTCATTTTACTATTATGAATGTGACTTTTTTTCTCTAATTTGTTTACCCTTTATTGTAGTTTTTCATTTATTTGAGAATTTTTTGCTAAATCTATCATTGAATATATGGCCTCTACAACCTCTGTGCTCTCTATGTTGAGCATTACCTCAAGCATCGTTATTAATATTACAATTAATTTCTAATTCCTTGGCTACAAATTAATTATTTGATCCATTGCCATTAATATTACAATTACTAGATAATAATCCTAAGGACTCAAATTATAATTTATGTATATAAACATAAATATGCTAAATTAAGGATTATCGTGCAAATAATATCCAGCAATATTATCGTGCAAATAATGTGCTTTCAAGATGTTAATGCAATAAGCTCAATATGAATAGTTCTAAGAGGGGGTGAATTGGAATTTTTTTTATTAATTTTGAGAAAATAGAATTTTTTAAAGCTAAATCTCTAATTTGAAAATAAACAAAACAATTGATTTCTTGTAAAGTAAAAGAAATAGGTAAACTTAAATGAAATTTAAGAGCATAAGAAAATAAGAAAAAATCAATATAATAATTTTTGTAAAAGTTTGACCTTTTTACTTATGTCTTTTTCTTTAGATTTAAGAATTTCAAATCCACTATTGGAATGAAGTTTAATGCAATACTTTTATGGTTAAAGCATAATCACTCTATCTTTTATCGTTAAGTTATAACCATTCAATTTTCATCTTTTCAATTGATTAAATATAACCACTTCAAGTGAATACATTAAAAGATGAAGGAATAGCCGAGATGCCTTTAGAAAGTTGAATAACAAATTAAGTACTCTATTTGGTGAGAAAGAACATAAGTAATAATGGCTCTATAAGTGATACAATGGAAAATTTAAATGCAAGAGAAGACAGGAGTATTAAATAATTTGAGGTGAATTTTTTTCTGGAGTTGTGTTTCAAAGTCTTTCAACCTTCGTAAGTATTAAGGTAGCTTGTTTTTATAGTTGTTGAAGCTTTAAAGGTAGTTGGAAGTGCATTAAATGTGAAAATAGTCATTTTTCTCTTCATTAAAGGCTCTAACGATCATATTATATCAATATATATTTAAATATATCGATACATTCTTTTTTTATTTTTGAATTATAACTATGATGTATCGATACATTTTGTCATATATTGATACTTTTGAACTTTCTTGCAAGAGTTTGACTGTTTTGTTGAAAATGTATTGATACATTTACTAATGTATCGATACTTTTGAAACAGCAAGCATTCTATTGAAAATGTATAAAGTATAGATATATTAGTACTTTTGAGGCATTAGACCTTCTGTTGTATTTCTATCGATAAATTTAAAAATGTATTGATAAATTGAGTTTGATTTTTTAAAATTTGACTTTTTTTAAAACCATATATCAATTGATTTCAAAA